CCTCACACACAACTTACTCACACACACACACAACTGCCTTACACACAACTCCCTCCCTCACACACAACTCAACCTCACACACACACAACTCTCACACACACAACTCTCTCTCACACACAACTCTCTCACACACACACAACTCTCTCACACACACACACACACACAACTCTCTCCCACACAACTCCCTGACACACACAACTTACTCACATGCAACTCTCTCGCACACAACTTGCTCACACACAACTTTCTCATACACAACTCCCTCACACACACAACGTACTCACACGCAACTCCCTCACACACAACTGCCTCACACACAACTCCCTCACACACAACTCCCTCACACACAACTCCCTCACACACACAGACAACTCCCTCACACACAACTCTCTCACACACAACTCCCTCACACACAACTCTCTCACACACAACTCCCTCACACACAACTCCCTCACACACAACTCCCTCACACACAACTTTCTCACACACTAGGCAAAATTGGATCTTTTAAGTGATCCATCAGGAACTGAGTCCTAAAACATGCAAATTAGCCAGGAAAACAAAAATCCTAGAAGCATTAGTCGACCAATGGGAGGTACTCCGAGAAGACAATCACGATCATAAACACCATCAAATAAAACGAAGACATTGACAATAATCTCAGTAGGGTTCTCGGCTTAGCCCTTTGCCATGTCAGCGAAATAAAATAATTGTAATGAAGACCAGATTGTGGCAACCGTGTAGAAATAAAATCGTTGTGGTTGGGGTTCTCGGCATAGCCCCGTGCCATTGCAGTAAATCTCAAAAAGCAGGTATATACGTCGATGAGCGTCCCCATCGATATCACAGATTACACACTGGCGTCTTCGTTGGTGCCAGTCCAGTGTGCATCCCTGGCACCCCTTGCAAACTAGAAAGGAAATACAGAAAAGTAAAACGAGATCAACGTAGAAGTTTTACATCTGTTCAGATGGTACACACACACACACCCTCCCGCAGGAGGGTGAGGCAATTAAGGCCCGGGCAGATGAGGTGAAGATGAGGATGAAGGAAATGAAAGTGAGATGAGAATGAACATTGGGTGAAGGTTACTTTACCAGGACGCGAAGCGGGGAACGCAAAAGAAGAGGGAAAGAGCAAACACCAACACCAACACACCTGGCCCGGAGCAAGCCAACCCTGAAAGGGCAAGAGAAGAGAAAAACGGAGGCCGACGGACACGGAACAAGACCAGCGGAGGGGGGGATGGGACGGAAGCGCCTGAACCAACCCAACAAAGCGGAAACCTACGCCTACCTCGGCACGCGCAGGACCCGACCTACCTAGGGGCGAAAAAGATGATGTAGTAGACTTGACCCAGCTTTTGAAGCATTTTACTCCCACACACTCCAGCTTCGAAGTGTTCAGTGTCAAGCAGCAAGAACCTTTTCAGACCCGAGCACGATTTCAATGGCGATTGATTCTAAGTTTTCGGCGTGCTGAACCACTGCCAAACAATTTTCCTTTGCTTTTGTATTTTCTCAATGATGACATGTCTCAACAAATTGGACAGTGGCTGCTGTGTATGACTTTTCATTATCGAGCTCAGTTTCCACGACTACACAAAGGGCGGGCCGCCTACGTCAGAGTGAAATCCCGCACTCATGTATCTTATATTTTCAATTTTCGTCTGTCTCCCAAATGGCACCCTGAACGTATCAATGTCCTCATTTACCTCAGCATGTTCAACAAACCGAACGTCGAACTGATCACATTCATTCAACCTTGGTATAAAGCACTTCGGAGCAGTCGCAGCTCGGGTACATTGAACACGGTCGTCAGCAGCATCAACGCATGTATCTATTTGATTGCCCAGACCTTCGAGTACAGCAATTGCAAGACTTCATGGGATTGCTTTTCTATCGGGACCCAGATTTTTCACACCTGTTGTGCAGAACATTTTCTTTAAAGAATGTTGCAAGTATTGTCACGCAATTCGACTTGCTGAGTTGTTTGTTTTCTGCGTGCAAAAGTAAAAAGGAGATAAAAGGAGTATTTCAAGTGTATCCAGAGATTCACTCGCAATCCGCAAGTGCAACCTGTTGCTATGCATAGACTGTACGACAAAAGGTTATATGTCGTTCGTTTCTTCGTGTACAGAATCAACATAAATACTCCCGTTCATTCATGTGATTCATGTGATTGTGTCTGGGACATACCCAGACATTGGCCAGTCCGGACCTTAACACTCCGGTCATCAACAATCGTGTGGAACGTCTCTGACATCAATTCGATATCGACATCGATTAGCCGGGACCTTACAACGTTGGGAATGCACTAATGAGTTGTCCAGGACGTGCGGGGAACCCTACACCATGTTCGATCGTGTCTCCAGACTTTGAAAACATTCAACCGCTGGAACTTCATAACCTTGGAAATATACTAATCAAGAACGTTCGGGAACTCTAGATACTGTGTCGCTGTGTCCGTTGGATTTTGTACATGTTCACAGATCGCATTTTCAACCATGTCACAGACCACATTTTCAACGCTTTACAGATCGCATGTTTAATAATTACCAGGACCAGAAACGCCTCCTGAGGGAGGCCATTGTGTGTGTAACCCGCTATAGCAAGCGGTTTTCTGATGTACAGATAGCAGGGGGCAATCTCATGTCTGCAGCTGATTGCCCAACGAAGAGGGCTGCATTCATGACTGATATGACTCTGGGACGCTGGAGTCACGTACCTGCTCGGATGAAACTGTTGTACAAGCTGTCAGTCTCAGGCTGTTTAGGTCTACCGAAGGTTTAAAAGTTATAAGCATAACATAGCAGCATAGCAAAACTCTAATTTCATCACTTCAGGATACACTGCCCCAGGATTCGAATTCTTAGGTCTCCGCAAGGCGACCAGAAGCACATCATTCTCAAACTTCTCATCAGATCTATCAGTGCAAGCAGCTGTTGAAAAAGTAATTTGCCGCTGTTCCGTGCAGCCTCACTGGAGCAGAATTGAAATGGTCCGAGGGTTCACCAGGACGGCAGGGCCAGCGGGAAGCAAAAAGACTGAAAAACAGCAAGGCCGACTGTTTCACTATACGTAGACGAATTACCAGGTTAAACTGTGCATATTCAGAGATCCGTTCGTCTGCATTCACCCAAAAAAGGGTTCCCTTAAGTCGGTCATGGCACCATGTCGGACCAACCATGGAGATCACTAGACAAGAACTGGATCATTTGAGTGATCCGTTGGGAACTGAATCCATAAACATATGATCAGAAATGCTATACGAGCCTAAGAGTGCGGGACGTTGTGGGTCCCCAGTTTTTACGTCATTTTTAGCTGTTTTTGGTTATTTTTAATGCATTTATTTTATTTCTTCAAATAAATTCTTACTGATTAAGTATGGTTCTAGATATGACAAAGTTTATTCTAAGTTCATCAAGTTAAGACATAATATGAACATTTTTATTAAAATTATATACTGCGGCACATACCCTAAATCGCATTTGAATTCAAATAATGACGAAACAAAATCTATGCTACATATTGGGGATGCCAAAGCAAAGGAGTGTCAAAGGAAAGGGATCTCAAAGCCAATGGTATGTCACTGCAATGGGATGGCTGAGCAATATAGAGAATGCTAGTCGATAGAGTGGAGGCCAGTGCGATAGAAGTGGAGATATGACAGTGCCTTAGAGAATCAAATATGATATGGTTGCAGGAGTCTTGAAAGGAAGATCACGAAAAGAAAGATGAGCTGAACACCAGCTGCAAGCCACCTGATGAAACAAAGGCCAAGAAAAAGAGGACCAAGGCATGAAGGTTCAGAAAGTACCAAATGGAAAGAAGAAATTTCGTACCCAGACTCCGAAACGTTAATGTCAATCTATGTTTTTTTCCGGTGCTTCATTTTGCTTCTCTGATTTATGGAAATCCATTATTTGGATGTTACAAGGGGTTGCGTCTTAGCAGTTCTAGGTTATACATATTTAAACAATATGTGTATTCACATGGACAATTTCTTGTATGGCGTGTTGCAATCTATTGCTGATTATGGCATTGAGACGTGGAAGATTTCATGAGCAAGCAGTAACGATTCAGTGCGTGCATCTTCTCTTTTTTGTCCGACGAGCGAGACAGCTGTGAGAGATTTTGAAGCGGAACCGCTCTGGCACCTTTGATTTGATGCATTGCACCAACGAATGACGGAATTGCAAAATGATGGCGGAAGAGTTTGGGTTTGGGAAGATGTTGGAAATATCTTCTAGTCCACATCATCAAATCATTTCTGTGCGGGTCTCTTCAAGACGGCTTGCTTCTTGACCCTACACTTATATTTGCGGCTGGCTGGCTTCTGCAGCACGCCGGCTCGCTTCAAAGTGGACTTACGGGCAGACCAAGGATTGAGGTGCTGCATGCCATCTAATTTTTGCAAATGAGAAAGCACAGTCAGAATCAACAAACAGCATGAGTGGATGCTGGCAGTGTGACAAGCGATCCGGAATTTGTTGCAGCTGAACTACAGATTAGAAGTATCGTGAATATAATTCTATTTATTGGCGTTTTATAGATATTGTTATTTAATTTTTTTTGACCTTTTGCAGAATATGGATCGTGATCCTTATTTGGTTGAACATTCAAGTATGATTGCATGCATGATGGCCCAGGGAGCCAACTAGAGACAAATGACTTTTCTAGCAGACAAGATACCCTAGAGAGTTGCCAAGAGACAGATGCACGTGTAACGGACAAGGATGAGGCTGAAGACTCAATGGCTTAAAGAGCCTCCAAGGTACAGACGAGTGTGCAGCAAACATGATAGCCCAGAGAGTTATCTGGAGACAGACAACATTGTAATAGACAAAATAGCCCAGAGAGGCACCTAGAGACAGATGACATTGCTTGAGGCAAGATAGCCCAGAGAGCCATCCAGATTTTTTATCATCTTATTCTTCGTGTTCCCTTTATACCTGTTCTCCTTTTGTTTTCTTGTCAAGGCCATGGGATATCGAAGCAATGGAGGGGATCCCAGTCTGCTTACTATGGGGCAGAGACCAATCAAACAGAATAGGAGACAGGACAGTGTCTCCCTAGATGGGCTATCTTGGTGGCTCTAGGTGGCTCTCTGGGCCATCTTGCCTGCTACAGCCTCGTATGGTATTCTTATGGGATTTCCAGTGGGTTCTTATGGGATTTCTATGGTATGTCTATGATATTTCTATGGAATTCCTATGAGATGTCTGAGGGAAATCTATGATATTCTTATGGGATTTCTTTGTGGTACCTATACTAATTCTATGTTATATCTATGATATTTTCAGATGATTCCTCCCCTCCCCTAGCTGGGCTATCTTGGTGGCTCTAGGTGGCTCTCTGGGCCATGTTATCTGCTACAGTCTCATATGTTATTCTTATATGATTTCCACTGGGTTCTTATGGGATTTCTATGGTATGTCTACCTTGTTAGTTTATACGCCTGTCCGTTGCGTTTGCAAACACTCTTCAAAGCAAATTATCAGGACGCATCAGGTAAGCATATGAGATATCCACAGAAACAAGAAAAATAGCAAGAAACAAGAACAAGAACAGAACACAAATGTAAGAAGCTCCACGACAAGAAAAAATATATCTGGGTTTGCTCTATAGGCCGTCTTGGGAGAGGTAAAGGGGGGGGTCAGCCCAATTTTTTTTAATTTTTTTTTTCGTTTGTTTTCTGTGTGGCTCTTTCTTTCCTGTGAATTAGAAATATAATCAGAGTCAGGTGTTCCTCAAGTCTGCTTGTTAGTGACACTACAGATTCATAAGCATGAATTCCGTAGACGTAACATTTTTCCTAACAAAGATTCATATGTAATCTGTCACGTCGTCTGTCCAGACATGTGGAAACGTGGGAACTGAGAAACGTGGGGACTGAGAAACGTGGGGACTGAGAGCGTCCCTTTCTGGAGTGCGGGACGTTGTGGGTCCCCAGTTTTTACGTCATTTTTAGCTGTTTTTTGTTATTTTTAATGCATTTATTTTATTTCTTCAAATAAATTCTTACTGATTAAGTATGGTTCTAGATATGACAAAGTTTATTCTAAGTTCATCAAGTTAAGACATAATATGAACATTTTTATTAAAATTATATACTGCGGCACATACCCTAAATCGCATTTGAATTCAAATAATGACGAAACGTGGGGACTGAGAGCGTCCCTTTCTGGAGCCTAAAGAGTCATTCAGGAAGTAGATCCAATCTTTAGGATGAAGGTCCGACAATCCAGATTGCGAACAGAAATTTGCTCACAAAGCCCCAAATAAAGAAAAGATAAACCAGGTTGGAGTCAAGCATCGCCAAGTTCAGAAAGGAATAAATAAGATCAAGTACCAGATTGCTGCAAACGTACAGAACATGAACTGAAACGTCAGGTAGGGGTTCTCGGCTTAGCCCCATGCCACAGCAGTAAAAACAACTTGCAGGTACGTCACGGTGATCAGCTGTGATATCCGCATGTACTGTGGCCGCTTCGTTGGACCATCGCGCGCAGTACATGGATGGTCCCCCGTCTAGGATTGCATGCACTCAAAGATGTTTTTGCGCACACACACACATACACACACACACGCACACACACACACGCGCACACACACACACACGCACGCACACGCAAACACATACACATACACGCACACACACAAACACGCAAGTCCATCACAGTCTTGCCTTGCACTGCCCCTTCACACTTTTTCGGTTCTCGTTGCTACCTTATCCATCCCTTAAAACGCTCTTTCACCCACATCCTTTTCACGCAAGAATCTTTCACGCACAACTCTGTCACACACAACTCTTGCACACCTCCCCTGTCACTTTCCTGCTCTTCCCATCCCATCTTCACCTTTGTTTTGCTACTTATTGGAAGAGGTTGACAAGTGGGGTTTTCCAGTCCTTTAATGTTTTCCTGAGGGACTTTGATGGTATTGCTGGTGCTGTCGCATATGATCATATGATGTGTTCTTTCCAAACTCCGTCCCCAAATTGACTGTCTTATGGTTCAATAGGTTTTAACCATCAGTCAAAGTGAGTGGGTTTTCATAAATTTCTGGTATCTCGGTATCTCATGGCCAGATGATGCCGGTATATGTACTGGTTACGAAGGTGGGTGACTCGAACTGTTGAGTTGGCTGTGGCCGATTTAACGGTTCCCATTCGGTGCAGATCCACCTTAAAACATCCCTAAGCAGAATGTTCAAATCCAAGTAAAGGATACTAAACAAGCATTTCTCCGGCTGGGGATCACCATGAAACCATATTAAACCAATTTAAACCACCATTAATCATTAAACCCTTTAATGTTGTTAAAACATGTTTAAACAATAATAAGCCACCCATTTGGCAATGGTTTGCACCACCTATTTACGGAGATTTGGGGGATTGTTTACTATTGTTTTAACCGCATTATGCTCCATCCAGGATCAGGGGCAGGATGAGGCACCATCCGGAACTCAGGATTGGGACGAGAGGAGCGAGAGGAGCGTGAGGAGATGCAGGTTGCCACCACCGAGAGGAGATCGATGATTGCATGGTGATCCCAATAATTTTATCATCTATATAATCATCAAATATTGAATATTTTATTTGGATAATTTTATATAATTTTAATAATGATAAAACTATGATAATCATGATTATGAAACAATTTTTGATGACAGTTGTTCGACGATACATGGCCTAAATATGGCGATATGGAGGTTGGCAAAGTATTGTTGCCCAGAAGGGGTTGTTTTCTCCGACAAAAAGTTGCAGGAAAACATGGTTACTTGCCATCAAGAAGATCGCGGATTCCACTAAACTGTTCTCAAAGGTCCCTAAACCTTTTCTTGAATTTGTGGCTATCAAACTGACAATCTATTCATGTTTGGTTGCTTCGATATGTGTAATGACAATTCCCAATTGGCTCATATTTTTGGCATGTCTTGAATCCACGAATTAGACATGTTTTGTTTCGGCGTCATCCAGAAATAGAAAAGGCTTACTGTAGCAGCAGATTGATTTAAGGAAACAACGCAAGATATCCCTATATATACATTTGATTCGCGCACTCCAAGCAATCCGTTGAACCTTTGATCAGTGTTGGTTTCCCATCTGACTACCACAAGAAGGGGCAGCCCCAGATATTATATATAGGTGGTTTATTTTCACCTATCTAGCAAAAATTGCATCATATTACATCCACCATAGACCCATCCTTTAAGCTAGTTAGATTTTTTTTGGGTTGTGCCCATATTATCTTTATTGCAAAACCCCATCTGATTCTCTTTATTCGGATCAAGAGGCCGATGGCAGTGACCAACTTGGTTGGGTGGTTCAATGGCTAAAAGGTAAGTTTTTTTCATCCGAAAATTGTACCCATAAAGATTGATTTGTTTGTGTACCAAAGATTAAATGGCAAAAAATTAGCCATGTGTACGAGGGGCATGCACATTCGTGTACATTCAAGAAGGAACAGCTTTTATATACAGTAAAAAATAACGTACATATCTACATGTATTGATTAATGTTTATATGCTATAAAATACTCTATATCCACGGGTAACCAAGCAGACACGGTAATGGACAATCCCTCATTTATACATAATTGTTTCATTGAAACCCGCATTTGGTTCCGGGATTTCCCCCATGTTTGATGAAACCCCATCATCTCCCATCATCTCCCATCCTTTCCAGGGAGATCCAAAGCCGCCAGAGCCTGCTGCTCCAAGCAAGTCCGGGCCGCTGACTTCATTGATTGCTGATTGACCTAACTAAGGGATTCTTGGGGATTAACTAAGGGATTCTTTGGGATGATTGTTGGGAATTAACTAAGTTCGAACATGATGTCTTTGTTATTTGTGATTTTGACCTATGCGAATTGGTTGAATTGCTTCGAAGTTCTTTTTTACATCTATTGTTAGGGATTATTGACATATATATCATTGGTCCGGTCCGGTCTAATATTTTTTTGACCTAGTTACCATTGTTAGATATGATTCTATGTACATCAATCAATGGGTCACACATCAATATTGGGGATTATTGGGGATTCCTACCACATCATATTATTGGGGATCGTCATCCTTAGTTATCGCGATTTCAACCTCAAATAGGGGGCTGGCCTTATCATGGATTATTCGGAGTTATTGAGAAACATTCTGGAGTTTACTTCCAGGGTCAAAAAAATGGCCTGCATATATACAGTAGCGATTCCAATGGGGTAAATTGATGATAAACTTCTAAACATTAGGGGTTTGGGGTGCCTAATTTTGAGATACATTTTTTTTTTAATGGCCAGACCATGTTCATGGAGAATATGATCACTAAGCAGCGGATTTGGCAAAAAAATATGATGGTTCCTCTGAAAAATGACAGACTTACTCTTTATCATTATCTGGATGTTTTTGCGAATTGTTGCTTTCTGATTTTTCTCCCCAACATTCCCGAAGTATCTTTAAAAAACCATATATAGGTCTTCGCATCAAAGCTCTTCATCCCCCCATCTGAAGCTGAGGTGGGAATGGCCTCCTTGGTGTCTGAACTTCAAGTCACCGAACATTGAGGTGCTCCGCTATTTTCTGTGCTGCGAACATTTCGCGAACACATACCGGTACCACACGTGCGGAAAACGATATACGGATCGTATCTCTACATATATATATATACATATATATATAAAGTGAATAGGTCATGTAACGAACTTGTGGAAGTAGGGAAATAGTCTAGAATTGGGATTGGATGTTGGATGATCATTGGGTCTGAAAATGGGGTACAGCAGCCCTCAAAATCCATGGTTTACAACCTGATGTTCCCCGTTCAAACTGTTTTTTCGGGCCCCCCATTTTCAAACAAAAGGTGCCCGCAACAACCACCACAGTTTACTGTAATGATGATATTTCTGTTTAACAGGGGACCGAATTGGGAGGTCTTGTGCTGGTTCCACTTGTTGTAGTACTTCTCTAATCTTGTCTATATCTACATGTAGACGTATAGTGTATTTAATAGATATCTATAGTCTATAAATATATATATATGTGATTATATGTGTGTACACATATATCTGACCATGAACAGGTACTGCAAAAATAAAGTAACAAGTTAGACATATATATATACTAATATCTATATATATAGTATATTATATATATACATATATATATATACACATGTGTATATATATATAGAGACACAGTATACACTTCGATCTTGATGTACCATCCCTGCAACCCCCCAAAAGTGGCCAAGCCTGCAGGTTTGGGTTCTGGATGAAGACGCTGGGATCGGCAGGCCATCCGTTGGAAGTTTTTTGCTTCGGGAGCTGCCAGGATCAATGGACTGGTTGTAGAGGATGGTTCCCCGTAAACGTAAATTAGATGACATTGATGGACGGATAGAATCCATCTAGTTGATGTTGGACATATACAAAAACCGATTCTATCATTGTTGATAAACTGTAGTAAAATAGTGACATTTGTCCAATCATAAATGGTTTTGTGTACCCCCTGCAATGTCAAAAATTCAGTGAGCTCCTAGGTTGATAGAGAGGGATCAATTGTAGAAGGGCCAACCAGTGGGCATCAGAGAAGGGTATCAAGCAGATAAATGGGAATTAGTGTTTTCAACGTTTCAGGGATAAATCACCATTTGTTTTCAACCAGAGTTGTTTCAAAACCCCAATGTTTTACTGGCTGTTTGTTCCCCCACTGGTTCCAATCCAACAGATGGGTGTCTGCACAACCACAAAGTCGCGTGGTCGACAAGGTCGCGGGTACTGGTTCCGCGGGCCCCTGGAGGGAGATGCTAAGAGAGGGCAAAGAGGCCAAGAGCCATGTTAAACGTCAACGCGCAGAAGCAATAACAATAGGAATAGCATTTTGTGATATGAGCTACAGCCAAAATTTAGGTTAATGGAGAGTAGTATTCGAGACATCTTTATTTGTTGGAAATTGAGCTGGGGCTTGGAAAACGATAATACACTCTTCAAAAAACGATAACATATGCTTATATATATATATAATTATATATATATACCAAAACCTGAAAAACGATAATACACTCTTCAAAAATTGATGACTTGGAGCTATATACCAAATATTGACCGTGGCCCATATGATTGATCACACAATGGGTGGTTTCACTGTTGATTTTTTGGCATCCAACCAGGTCCAAGAGAGATGTCGATTTGACACCGTAGATCGGTTGGGATGTTTTGGGTATGGGGCAACTCAATGAGATCTCACAACTTCAACTTTGAATAGAACACATAATGCATATATATATATATACTTGGTGGCTCATCCCACTTAGTAAGTGGGTTATAACCCCAGTTATAAATGGGATAAGTAGGGTTAATCCACTGATAACTGGGGTTATAACCCACTTACTAAGTGGGATGAGCCACCAAGTATATACCCTCTGGTACTTTATTTAAGTGTTTGCTATGCCAAAAATGGCGAACTTTCTAGATGCTGTTCCATAGCTACATGAAATTACCGGAGGCATCTAGATGTGTATTTCACAACATTGAGGCTTCCCTTTTCACCAGTAGTTTCTCAATCAAACATGACCACCAAGAGCCGCGTTTGATGGCAAACTCCAAGGGAAACCACAGCGTTTTCCGGTCAAAATAAGAGGTTTCCTCTAAAATTTGTTTTAAATTCAAGGACAAACTGTATGTGGACTCCTCTCCAGAATCATGTTGATTCAGACATATTCAGACCCTCAAAAGTTATCTAAAGTTGTTGTGAAGGATGAGCCGGTGGTATATACATATATTATATTGCATTATATTGTATACATCCAAACAGCATGACACGAGTTTAGCATGGAACAGCACGGAAACTGAACTAATGGGGTCTTCCATCACTTCGCGCGCCAGTCTGGCAGAGATGCGTATCTTTGTGCCGAATATCTCTGGGATGACGAGTACTACGTGCAGGTCACGCAGGGTTCTGGCGGGCCAAAATTAAGATCATTGGGTCACTTGCGTCATGTATGCTTGACTGTACCACACGACATCAAAGATAACATCATAATTTTGGTGGCTTCATTGGTAAACCAATGACATAAGCGCCGAATTTCTTGGATCAGGAATCGTAAGTGGGTAGAAACAATTAATATCCATGAATCTAACTGTCCATGGTTGGATTTTTATATAGTTATAGGTATGATATATATATATATAATATATATAATATATATATATATACATACATATATATATACATATATATATACATATATATATACATATATATATTTAAACTGATTTAAGGACAAAAATGCAGGAACACCCCATGATTTCCTGTGAGTTGTCCATAACTTTCCCTCAGTTTCCTGGGGAAACTGGGCGATTGGCTGTCAGGACTTTGGACCTCAACACGTGCAGCCAGCCAGATTGATGTCTTGATTGCTTGAAAAGTGGCTGTTTTGATGGCTTAAACGGCTTCAACATCTCACAGCTCATGTTTGAACAACTTTTTTTTTGAAAGATGTGGTGATTTTGATGATTTTGATGATTGACTGCCCAATCTGGATGGTCCAAACTACGGATGAAAAGCAAAGATGGATGGTCCAGACTAAAAACGAACAGTTTCATTTGCTATTCTCAGCGATTCCGAATTTACCCCCATACCTTCGCCTTGATGATGTTTGATGCTTCCATCCCCTACTTGTATGTTGGATGGTGAAATCCCCTTGTTTCATTATACAACAACTATTCTTGCTGGTAAAACTCCATGTTTGATGACAAACATCATGCGTCATATACATACCCTAAACTTACAGAACATGGAAGCACAAAAAGTGTGTCTGGAACATTAGATTTTCCAAACTTGGACAGGATTTTTGGGCATTTTCGATCCATTTTTTGGGTTCCATCTTAGATTTTTCGCCGGTGTTTTAGCCAATTTTGTTCATTGAATCACCAGGTGCGCTGCAAGGGCGAAACGAAGACCGTGCTGCAGACCTTGACGCAGGAGATGGGTCAATCAGACGGGATGGGAGGAGATCCCCAGATCTGTTGGAGGTTTTAATGGGAGATTTCTGGGACCGTTTTGGATCAGGATACCCTCTGGTTATGTCAAAATAGCTATGGAAAGATCCACCATTTTTAATGGGAAAATCCACTATTTCTATGGCCATTTTTAATAGCTATGTTAGTTTACCAGAGGGTATTTTAATGGGATATTTTAATGGGATATTAGTGTGGGGAGATCTCCTAACTGTAGCTTCTCTGTCGAAATCGAGTGATGATCCTGCAATTTGAAGATATTGGCGGCTGGAAAAAAACACAACTGCTAGCAAGTGCAGTTCATGGATATGAGCCAGGTGTGCCATGGTCAAGACATGGATTATACATACACCCATATTGAGGGATGGTCATCAATCCATTAACAGGCATTTATTTACCCATTATGTGATTTATATGATTATGTGGAACCCCGTTATTGAATAGATGCACATAATTAACATAGAACAGACGGGTGACCTGTTGATTTTGACCAATTCATTGCTGGGAGAATTTGCGCTGTGCTGCGGGTTGCCCAGCACCAAACGATTGTCACGCAAGGTTCCTGATGAATAGGTGAAACCTGCAGGGATAGAAGTGAGTGAGGAGAGAAAGCACTTCAACCTCGCTATCTCAGTGAGGTATGGATCATTATCATCGACCCTCCAAAAGCGATTGCTTAATACAAATCATACAAATATATACAAATCATATCTAATCGTATCTAATCATATCATCAATTTCTCATTGCCGATTGATACCCCGGTTCTGTATGTTATTCACCAACAATTTGGTGGCATGCCATTCATCCAGCATCGTTTTAAATCAAACTTTTGACCAACTGTTGCATGTCACAAACCATAATTATTTTGCAGAACAAAACATCATCCAATGAAAATATCTGATTTCTATCCCCAGTTACATCTGGTTGATTAAAACACCCAGAGAACGTGAGGATTTGTTGAAGAAATGCTTAAAAAAACCATTGATTCAATCCACCATTTGGTGAATACGTGAGCTATGAAACTTGCGAGGTATATATGCTATCCACAAGGAGGAAAACTATGTGATATTAACCCATATGAACCCATATTAACCCGTATGAAACCTCTTTACTGCGCCCATTAAAACATATTAAAACCACAGTTTTACTTGCATTGTGGCCCTGGGTTGTCGGGCCAGGACGATCCTGAATTGGAAGCCACCAAGGCGCTGCTCCACTACTGGATCAGGGGCGCAGTTGTGCTAAGCTGCTAAGCACCACACCATGTAAAGCGATAGGGCCTCACAAAAAAAACGTGTAACCATATGTCCCAGATGCTCCATACCTACATTTGGGCCATTTTTGGGGTAAATGCTGGTAAATATTCCATACATGGAGCATCTGGGTGTGAGAATACATTAAACTTTCTGTAAACCAAGCAAATATTGTTGTGTATCTTCACGCAATGGGCAAAATTTATGGAAACAAATCAACCTGTAGTGCCCATATTCCTTGCAGTTGCCCGTTTTTTTTGGGTATCATTTGTTGTCCAAGGTGATTGAAAAGGAAGTATTTTTTTTCCAGGTCCCAAAGCAGTAGAATTAAACTAAACTAAATTCAATTGAAATTGAATTCCGAATGAAATATAACTTTTTTTGAAAAACATCAAATTCTGAATTCTGTTTATTATCCTTTTTGTTCAATTTGTCCTTTATTCTACCTTTGTTTTCTTTTCTTGTTCCACGTTCTTCCTTCTTTTGCTTTCCTGATCATCAAGGTGTTCTAAAAAAAAAACTTAGCGATAACCGAGCGATAACCTTTGTTGAAAAAGGAACCCTGGACGAGGGATATATTCTTTTCCAAAATACCAGACAAGTAAAGAAAAACTCATTTTGGAAATCTTTGGTGAAGCTGATTTTGGAAATCTTTATGAAAAGTAATTTCGTTCCATTTTTTGTATTATTTGGTGTTAATTTGAACGAAACACTGTAAAACGATAGGCCCCTCCCAAAAAAAGCGATAACCTATACTTTTGCACCAGGCGCAAACACTTGATTTTGACGGCGGCTCACACATATGTATATTATATATATATTAGACACGTTTTCTGTATATACTTTCCAAATATATACTGTATATATATATACGTATATATATATATATATGTAAATATATATATAAGTATGTATATATATATATAATGTATATATATATATACGTATATATATATAATGTATATATATAATGTATTTATATATATACGTATATAAATACGTATATATATATATATACGTATTTAAATAGGTGTATATATATATATGGATATATATATATATATGTACGTATATATGTATATATACGTATATATATATATGTATATATGTATATATGTATATGTATATATATATATATGTATATACGTATATATATCATATATATATGTATATATGTATACATATATTTATATATATGTATATTAGCGCGTATGTATGTAGAACATCATATGACTCTTAAATTTGCGTAATTCTCATGACCTCGCTGGCCCAATAGTCACATGGTTGTCCCATGAAAGATCTATAGAAATGCCATCAGTATCCTATGAAATGGTGACATATCCATGAAAAAATATCTATGACATATCCATGACATATCCCCCTACTATTCCATGTTCCATAAATACGCAGTTAATATTCCAACATAAGAATAAATGATTGGTCAATGGGCTAGCTAGGAAATCCCTGATCAAAATGGGTATATTATATTCATGGAACCAAATATTATGAGTGGGTGATGTTCAAGCCATGTTTGATTACCAAAGGGTACTATGATTTTTTTGGAGGGTCTGGAGTTAGGAAAACTTCAGCTGGATCATCGTTACAGAAACCATGGCGGTTGTAGCTGGGTGGCGTTTCACTTTGCTCTGACTCACTCATTTTTTCAGAGGATTTCCCTGATGTTTTGGCATTTGTCATGATTGGTGATCCGCATGCTGAACAGCCCACAGACTCTGAAAACAACGAGACAGCGACACATACTGGCTTTTGCCAGTGAGGTTTCTCTAGTTCACCAAAAAAGACCATCGGGTCGGTCTGCAAATCCATTCTGCATTCACATACATTCACTATTCCAGTGAATATTAACCATGATTAATGGATATTAACCATGATTAATGGATATTCACCATGATTAATGGATGGCAACTCAAAATGAAGGACGGGTATCAACGGTAGGACAGTCGGTGGGCTGATCCCTGGGTGGTTTCCAGCATGCTGGTGGGCTCGGCGGGGATGGCATATGAGTACTCAGAAACGGCATGGCGTTTTGGCACTCTAACATTCAATTCCGGAAAACCATAGTTTATTGGAGCTGTTTGATTGTTTGTGAATTGGGGTCCCAGGGGTCTATTTTTCAGATTGGATTCTAGGTCTGGGATGGTCTGGGTTTGGTTCCCTTTCGGAGGTCTTCAAGAAGAACGGCGACGAAAGCCTCATGGACACCAAGGTTTCCTGCCCTTCGGGCTGTGAGTTGCTGGTGGAAGACACTGGAGCTACATAACAGATACATGGTTTGCAAATAGACACATATTCAGTATACATGCACAGTTTTTTAAATAAAACATAATATATATATTATGATCTTACACACATATACATATATACATATACATATATACATATATATATATATTAGTTTTATGTATATACGTATTGAGTCTCTATACTATATACGTGGATAACATATGTACATTTATTACATGCACCCATAGAGAAGTATTAACTGTAATCATTCCACATTACAACCTCTTAAACTAGAAACTCGGCCAACTCGACTTGCTACAAAAATCATGGGACAAAACTGTAGTTTACTGTACATGACAGGTGAATGATTTGATGCAAATTCATTTCATACTTGGATGGCCATCCCGGTTCCCTAGAGTAGGCCAAAATATGGCGATACCAGTACCGAGACGAATGCCCAACAAGTTGTTTTAGCCCTTTCCTCATGAGTAAAGCTAGTAAAGGCTGATTTTTCTACTTATTTACTCTCTATTTCTACATATTTCTCAATGAAATCCGCTATTTCCCCCTGTACGCCACATGGATCCATTGGATGGCGGATTTTCCACGGTTGATACCAGGAGGGTACCTCGTTTAATGGCGATATTTTAATGAGGGTAACAAGGATTAACATTGATTGATTGATCATCCAAAAAAATGGTTTTGGATCCCCGATTTTCAGACTAGGATGGTGCAAAGGGGTACCATGAAGATATGATGGGGATAGAATGAGGATATTAGCTGAAAATAGATGAAAATTGATGTTGCCCCGAAATTGGATGGTGCAATGTTCTAACCACATTGACCGTTAATAGGCACTTCTTGGTCCTTAAAAGGCTCTTAAAAGTATCCCCGGTGTTGAGTTTCATGTAGGGTGGAAAATAGTACTTCTCTTGGGGCATATGGGTCAAAATTGGGCACCCCATAAACGAGATGGTTGATTTGATATGATTTGATACTAAAAATCTCCAAAATCGTGGGTCCTATCACAGGGATCCCACTGAGCCAGGTCTTCAAGGATAAGAAGGGCAAGAAAGAAGGCCCACGGTTGTCGGTGGCATGATGGAAGTCCTGGGATCATCTTGTTCGCCGCGCGCCATCCTTGGTTGCGCTTCTGGACTTACTCACAGAACAGGGTGATTTGGGGTATTAGGGGGAATTCAATGTACAGTGATGTTGCAGCACCATGGATGATTTGGGTAATACCAAGTGTAGCGTATGATTACATCCATGGTGCAGGTTTTGAAGAAGGCTAGCCAGAAATCAGAGGTGTGTCATCAGTTTTCCCATTATGTACTCAAAATTGTCACTTTTTGGGGGTAACCAAATGTTCAGAGACACCCATATGCTTTACTCAAGGTTATTGATGTGGGGTGACTTCAATCCAATTCCACCCTGAAAAGCAAGCGATGGAGACTGGCAGTCTCAAAGAATAAGAAGGGATTGTCCGAAAATAGGGGATAAGGGATGCCCCAAAATTCCACTTTGAATGGGACAAATGATGATCAACCATGGTTTAGGGCTCTCCTTGTTTTGGCTAGCGACGCTGTTAGCGACCCCATAGGAAAACGCCAATTTTATATTTCCCACTTCATATTGATAACGTTAGCACTAGCATCCCACACATGTACAAGGAGGGGGTTTACGGGGGGTGTAATAACCTTCTTCTCGCCTGCTTGTTTTTTTGTTTTTGCTTTCTTACTTTCTTTTGTGTTTGGAATTTCTTAGACGCTCTTGATGCTACGTGCTACGCTGCTGACATGTTCTTGGAACTTCTGAGACGCTCTTGATGACGCTGCTGACATGTTCTTGTCACTTCTGAGACGCTCTTGGTGCCACGCTGCTGACATGTTCTTGGAACTTCTGAGACGCTCTTGATGTTTCGCTGCTGACATGTTCTTGTCACTTCTGAGACGCTCTTGATGCTACGCTGCTGACATGTTCTTGGAACTTCTGAGACGCTCTTGATGCTACGCTGCTGACATGTTCTTGGAACTTCTGAGACGCTTTTGATGCTACGCTGCTGACATGCTCTTGGAACTTCAGAGACGCTCTTGATGCTACGCTGCTGACATGTTCTTGGAATTTCTGAGACGCTCTTGATGCTACGCTGCTGACATGTTCTTGGAACTTCTGAGACGCTCTTGATGCTACGCTGCTGACATGTTCTTGGAACTTCTGAGGCGCTCTTGATGCTACGCTGCTTGCATGTTCTTGGAACTTCTGAGATGCTCTTGATGCTACGCTGCTGACATGTTCTTGGAACTTCTGAGCTGCACTTGATGCTCGCTGCTGACATGTTCTTGGAACTTCTGAGATGCTCTTGATGCTACGCTGCTGACATGTTTTTGGAGCTTCTGAGACGCTCTTGATGCTACGCTGCTGACATGTTCTTGGAACTTCTGAGACGCTCCGCTGCAGACATGTTCTTGGAATTGCTGAGATGCTCTTGATGCTACGCTGCTGACATGTTCTCGGAACTTCTGAGACGCTCTTGATGCGACGCTGTTGAGATGTTCTTGGAACTTCTGAGATGCACTTGATGCTACGCTGCTGACATGTTCTTGGAATTTCTGAGACGCTCTTGATGCTACGCTGCTGACATGTTCTTGGAACTTCTGAGACGCTCTTGATGCTATACTCTGCTGACATGTTTTTGGAACTTCTGAGACGCTTTTGATTCTACGCTGCTGACATGTTCTTGGAACTTCTGAGACGCTTTTGATGCTACGCTGCTGACATGTTCTTGGAACTTCTGAGACGCTATTGATGCTACGCTGCTGACATGTTATTGGAACATTTTGGATCTTCTGAGACTCTCTTGATGCTACGCGGCTGACATGTTCTTGGAACTTCTGAGACGCTTTTGATGCTACGCTGCTGACATGTTTTTGGAATTTCTGAGACGCTTTTGATGCTACGCTGCTGACATGATCTTGGAACTTCTGAGACGCTCTTGATGCTACGCTGTTCTCATGTTATTGGAACTTCTGAGACGTTTTTGATCCTTTGCTGCTGACATGCTCTTGGAACTTCAGAGACGCTCTTGATGCTACGCTGCTGACATGTTCTTGGAACATCTTGGAACTTCTGAGACGTTTTTGATGCTATGCTGCTGACATGCTCTTGGAACTTCAGAGACGCTCTTGATGCTACGCTGCTGACATGCTCTTGGAACTTCTGAGACGCTCTTGATGCTACGCTGCTGACATGTTATTGGAACATCTTGGAACTTCTGAGACGTTTTTGATGCTACGCTGCTGACATGCTCTTGGAACTTCAGAGACGCTCTTGATGCTACGCTGCTGACATGTTCTTGGAACTTCTGAGACGTTTTTGATGCTACACGGCTGACATGTTCTTGGAACTTCTGAGACGCTTTTGATTCTACGCTGCTGACATGTTCTTGGAACTTCTGAGACGCTCTTGATGCTACGCTGCTGACATGTTATTGGAACATCTTGGAACTTCTGAGACGTTTTTGATGCTATGCTGCTGACATGCTCTTGGAACTTCAGAGACGCTCTTGATGCTACGCTGCTGACATGTTCTTGGAACTTCTGAGACGTTTTTGATGCTATGCTGCTGACATGCTCTTGGAACTTCAGAGACGCTCTTCATGCTAGTTGTTTTTCGGTTCAACCACCGAGAAACGCTGAAAAAAGACCTGGCCAAGATGGCAAATAAATGCCACTGAAGATGAGAAAAAACTGTTGCGTGAAATCGACCTCGAATCACACTATTTGAAAACCTTTGAAATACAGAATTCCAATGGTTTAAAAAAAAGGCCTCGCCCTCCTGTAAATACCCATGAATCCTGCGGTTGAAGATGAGTGGGTACTTGTGGAAATGCTGTAAAAGCGCAGGATTATTGAAAGATGACTTATGACGCCATGTGCAGATTTCCCAGGGTCGCTATTGGCGCCTGTACCTTGTTTTGGTCACACCTTGATTGTGAGACGGCAAACAGGTTTTTTTCTTGACTTGCATACCACTTTTCAGAAATACGGTCTTTTGTGAAAGGCGTTCCACTTTGTTTGCTCAATGTAATCTAATACTTCTTATGACCTTGCAGCAACGAAATGATTGACCTTGCAACAGTGTTTAATAGTGTTTCACCGGCAGAGAAACCTCAGAGGGCATTTTCAGCCCCACAGAAAGGTAGAAACCACAGAGCTCAAGGCAAATTTTCTGATTCTTGCGGAAACACACGCCGCTAAATAAAATTAAACAAAGTGTCTATGAAAGTGGTTATGTGCTTAGTAGGAGCAGTACCACTCATGATGGTTGGATGACACCTATATACCCACGTATAATTGACCATGGCACAGCTATCATACCCACAAATCAGGTCCATACTTGTAACGTGAATTTTGTCGCACTTTGCGAAAAACATATTGACATTTGGGGTCAATGATTTTGAGCTATACTGTATATACTCGTACATTCCCATGAAACCAGGTTATATATATACATTATACACACATACCATTACATGCCTATATTTGTTATGTTGTGTATATAGTTATATGATGTTATATGTCTATAGATAGGTATGAAATCCAACATAATCAAAGAACTACCATTCATCACATAGATATTAGGTTGATCATTTTGCCGGGAGATATCACCAAATGATACCTCAAATGGTTTGATCATGATCCATCCCTCCTAGGATTAAAAATAAAAACCTGCAGGAAACCCTTCGGAAAACCCCAGATTCGGCGGTGACCATGTTTCGCCATGTCTCGCCTCTAGGTGGTCTCAGTGCGATTCTGCACGAAGCCACTTGAACTGAGAATAGGATGAGAATCTACGTAGATTCTTACCATTATGGATTGCTGATGGTAGATGGATGAGAATCTACACCCGAATGGAAAGATCAGATATGGCACACACATAATATATATAATATATAATATATATATATATTTATGTTTGTTATGTACATATATATATGATATATGATATACTCTACACCCCGAAGATGTAAACAGCAAAACTGAAGAATTGAGAATCTAGATAGCATGTAAAAGGGATAGCCAATTCATTTACCGCATTTTGTTCCGATCCCAATATCCTCTAAGCATCAGTCACTTTTATCAGCTGCAGCTGTCAACTTTTACCCAGTGAGTTCACCCACCCATGTACAGACTCTCTCTATCCCTCTTCCTCTATCTGTTTCTATATGTATATGTGTGTCATGTATTCTACAGACAAGTAGATGGCATTTGTGTTTACAGCTAGGCCCAGGCTTCTTCACTATCATTTGAGTGATATTCAGTTCATAGCCAGCTTATTACTGGAGGAGAGTTGTGTTGGCCATCCCCAGTGACGCAACGTCATTCGCCAAGGATTGAATCCCTACAGGCCGTGGCAAAATGGGAACACGTGTCATTGGGGACACGTGGGAACACAGGCTCAGGATGGTTTGGGGATGGATCAAAACCCAACCATATCTTGGGATATTTAACGATGGGATGTTTCGACCCATAACCATATTCTGTTGCTCTTCAGGATGATTTGGGGGTGTTCAAGAAGGCGAGTACGTGCAAGTACCCATGAGCTCCCTGCTGCTTAATAATGATCATAGATCCCCGATCAACTAGCAGTTATGGGTAGCTGTAGCCGCATCAAAATATCATAAGATAGCGGGAGGCCCGTCGTGAGAGTCATAGCATGGTTTGTTCGAACATGGGGCACCCAATAATCCAACCGTTTTTTGATTGATAATTAATTATCTATAATTAATTGTCCAAATTGAAACTGTTTTTTTTAAATATCCGAATGGTATGAGAGCTACTTTTCCCAACAAAATTTGGCCCCTTTTGTGGGATTGATTTTTCTCCGGGGTGAAAGTTTCCACCTTTCATCCCAGTGCAGACTTTGTTGAAATTCGTTTAAAAATCAAGTCCCTCATTCCACTGGTTCAAAAGTTCGGTTTCCCATCATTTCAAATGCCGTAACTTGGGGCTTTGAACTCCGCCATTTCAGACGCATCAAAAACGGTTCAACATTTTGCCACTGAGAAAGCCCTCAGGGGAACATCCGGGAACATGCACACAGCACAGGAAGCGATTTTTATTGGAGGTACCTAGCATATGTTTTTGTCCTATGTCAGGGAATATCCCCATAAAATATAGCCTTGTATAGTACAGTACCTCACTTTTAGGGTCCTGAACTTCCCACTGATCTGTGTTGATTCAACAATGGAGCTGCCCTTGTCCACCAGTGGGCCGATGGGACGTGACGAGGCCTGGTGTTGTACCCATGGATGCCTGGATTCAGCGGCCAGACACAAACAGATTCAAAGATTCAAGGTTTGTGAAAGAAACACATGCAACCCCAACAAGGGGGTGTGTCTAAAAATGTGATATTGTCATATATTATCCGTTTTTTATCCCTTTCCCATTCCCAACCATTTTAACAGGGATACTGACAATCAACCAGTACTCATTACATGGGGTAGCCTCTCTTTAAACAACCCCAAGTGGGTGATCCCCAGTCAGATTGCCAAGAGCTTCGCAGCAGGGTTTTGAGTTCAATCGTTTATTTCAATGGTGTGATAGCAGGAGCCACAAGGCATAGATGTATATTATGTTTTCTCTTTTTGTTCATATGTATATATATAATTTTATAATATATATATATGTATATGTATATGCATTTGAATCATGCGTACATGTGTGATGAACTATCATATCATACAGAGCTATGTTTCCAATTTTACACATGTCAGGAAAAACATTGTGTGAGAATTGAACACGGTTCCCGGTCTCTGGACGCAGAACACGCAGTTGCGTTGTTTTTTTTGTCTTCCCAGTCCTCTGCAGAGGTTGCGGACGTAGTTGTAGGAAAGTTTGTCGCAGCTGCTTCGACAGCGGCATTGTCCAGAAATTCATGATGGTCGTTAAGCACCAATCGTTGCCCGGATGCTGTACTGGATGTTCAGTTGTGCAGATGCGCTAAAGTACTAATCTTTATTTGTATGTGAATCCCAGTGGTCGTAACTGATTATTGTTTTTGGTATTCAATGGTTGTGGTCCAATTATCGACAAGATATCGGCCCATATCGGCAGACAATGAGACGCACATTCAGGCGCTGTCGCGTCCTTGGTGGTCTTTGGGTGCATCCAGTGTAGCGCTTTCCTTCACCAGCCTCGACAGTTGAAGCGAGCCTCGAGCTATGGTAAATCAGAACGGTGACGTCGCCATATGTTGCCATGGATTTATAATAATGCTTACGAGAATTTATACAACATTATATACTTATACAATCTTATGTATACTTTATAAAGAGATATTACGAATATTTATGCATAGAAATCACAGCAACATGATCAAACATATCTTCTGCTGCTGTGGTGTGGTGCACCCGAAATGAACCCTTACGAGCCTGAGAGGATGTGCAGTGTGCAGGAAAAGATGCGGCCGTACCTATACCTATGCTGTTTGATCAAATCTCCTGGGGATCTGGAACATCCAAGTCCAAGTGTCGCTTGTTAAATGACCATCACTTTCAGCGTTGACGGTGGCATCATGCTTCGAGGTTTGTGGTTAACTCCCCATGTTTGTTCATGGCATGGGTTGGTCAAAGTCTCATTGCAGATTTGTGACTGATCGCCTGAATGAATTGTGGTCGAAGAGTCGAAGATTCTTCCCCAGTACTTGGGTTTTGTGTTCAAATGTGTTTAAATGGGTTGCCTCAAGACCCCTTTGGATCCTTTGGTTGCCACGTTCTTTTCAACCCAGCCTGGGGTGACGATCCCAAAAACTGAATGATAACCTGCTGGCGCGAATGGCTCAGTGCTTGTGGGTTGATTTTGCCGAGCTGATTCCGAAGGTGGGGGAGATGTTCCTACTGCATTGATGCGCTAAAAGTTCGTCTAGTGTAGGTTGGAAAACCAAGCTACCTTCAATAAAATATATCATAAACTATGTACAATTGGAATTAATTTGATAGATGTAAAATGATGTAAAGCATAGTTTGATGTGGAACTCATTGGTATATATTATATATTGGTATGGGCAGTAGGCTCAAACAAATCCTTCGGATTTCTCCGGTGTGTGTTCCAACAGCCTCAGACATGGTAGAAATCAGACAGATCCTGGGCTGGCCTTACAATGGACATGGACAGTCGCTGGTCGTTCGTTTGTTTCAGGACGCTGTACGTTTCCTTAGGGAAGACCGGAATATATTTATCATTCGCATGGCCTCAATGCGTCTGATCCCTTCGAGCAAGACAAAGCTACATTTCTGTCATCACTTAAATTTAGTCATATTATGAGTCATATGGCTATGGGATGCTATGGGTATCTACGGATCAAATTGGCAAACACAGTCTGCAGCTCCATCGGCCTGTGATACACAAAATTCCAAGTGAAATGTCGAACATGATGATACACCACTGAATCTTGGGAACTTGGGGTATATACATATATATCTGGGTAAATTATTCTGCGACCTCACTGCGACCTCAGTGCGACCGAACCCTGGAATAATGGTTAGTAAGGGGAATTATCCCAATATGGTCTTATTTCAGGTTAGTGAACTATTATACTTTGCCCAGATATATACCCTATTTTCAGACAAAGCCACCTGGGTTTGTCCGAATCAAAATCCAAGGAAATTGGAATGATTTAGACACCAATGGCCTCCCAATTCTTCCATGGCAATAAATTAAGGTATGCAAAGGGTATACCATATTCCGGACAAAGCCATCCCCTCCTCAATCTCCTTGTTATCACCGATTCGCTGGAGGAATCCGTACAGAAGTCATGTCCCAAGTCATGTCTCAAGGTGGTGGACTCAGGGAGGGTCAGGGATAAGGCTGCCCTGGTGGAACCCACGCTACGCTGTTTCTAGACCTCAGTATCAGTGTTTACGTGCGTGCATGTGTATGTGTGTATACTTAATTTTTATGGATCATGGATCTATATTACATAAATAGTATAAATACATCCATATGATTATTATGCACACACACGCTCTGTGTACTCTGTGTATTTACAATACCTTATCTTTGGGTACCTACTGCTGGTTTTCATTTCCGCTGTGTCCAGGAATAGAGAACCACTTTTTCCCCACTGTTTTTGGCAGGTGCTTCACCAAAAGGAACCCCAAACTTTTGTTTGCCATGGTCCATGGTTAAATCATGTCGTTTTTTTTTCAAAAAAAACTCCTTTGATGTGCATCCCATGTAATGTAGTGCATGGTTCATAACCCACACACACATCATATATATATATAATATTTATATATATACACATATATATTCACGCATATATATATACATATATATATGTTATATGATGGTCGTTCCAAAAACCCGCCTTTCCTGTTTTAATTGTAGCGACATATAGCAAAAAAAATCTCAGACTAGACGTGTGAAAACACGAGGTCCGCAAGGGCGAGCGCAAACTCTTTGCTACTCATACTATTACTACTACTACTACTACTCCTCCTGCTGCTGCTGCTGCTCCTACTCCTACTACTACTACTACTAATACTACTACTACTACTACTACTACTACTAGTACTACTACTAGTACTACTACTAGTACTACTACTAGTACTACTACTAGTACTACTACTAGTACTACTACTACTACTACTAGTACTACTACTAGTACTACTACTAGTACTACTACTAGTACTACTACTACTAGTACTACTACTAGTACTACTACTAGTACTACTACTAGTACTACTACTAGTACTACTACTAGTACTACTACTAGTACTACTACTAGTACTACTACTAGTACTACTACTAGTACTACTACTAGTACTACTAAAACGTGTTAGTGCGCCACGCTCTGAAAGTAGAGCTGTTTGTTGTTTCAGGGCGACATTGCAGCCGCGCTGTCGACCTACCAGCGGACGCATCTGCCTGTCACTTCCGGGCTTAGGCGAGAAGTGCAACTATAGTGTTGCTATGTCCTAACACCTATGTGGATAGCTCCACGTCCCTTTAGCTTGCAGTCTGCAAGGCTATCATGAAGTAATCCATTATAATCTGGCAGGTAGCGACTGAGGGATGGCGCAGGCTGGCAACAGAACAGGCAAAGGTCAAAGTCTCTTCTAGAGCTGGTCGCCATTGAGCTTGAATTTCAAAGGCCTCGTAACCATTCTACGACACATGTTTACAATTATGCACTCTGTGCAAAGCGGGCCCCAGAAGCCAGCTAATTTGAAATGTGTCCGAAACAGGTCCGAAACAGGCTTGAAACAAGTCTGAACCATCCCATTCCATCCATCCATCATCCATCCATCCATCCAATCTACCCATCTGGTCCTTTGGTCCTTCGATCATGTATACATGGAGTTTCATAGTGCCATATACCATTTTGATTGTTCGTTGTATTGAGGTGAGATTTGCCACCAGAAGAAAATATAAGCAACATATTGATAATAATGGAATTTTACTGACCTATAAACACATGTGCTCTGAAACCTAGGCCGCGCAAGAGGGCGCAAGGGCGGGCGCAAGACGTTCCTGTACGTCATCCACGGAACTAGAATTTGGAACAACCCCCACATAATACTTGGGGTGTGTGGTATACCCTACATATACCTGGGATATAACACATAATATGGATATTGTTATTATTCACTCTACGAACTGCGATGCGCTCCCAAACGCCCATCCGGCCCACTTTATCTGGTTCCATGAATGGAGCACCGACTTGACCATGTGCAAACAAACAAATGGAGGTTTACTCAAATGGCGGTAACCTAAATAAAAGTAATAATAATGGGTTTCAATACTAAACGGGTCTATATATACATAATTATACATATTAATTTTGCATGATTTGTGGGTACACCCGTTTTCGGAAACCTCCAAATGTATTATACACATCTTTACACAACATACAAAATACGCTATGATTGCAAAACGAACACTATATACATATATTTTATACATATCTGATTATATGATTATATAAAATTACCATGAATACCACCATAATTCCAACAGCCTGGTAACATGCTATTTGGGGACCATGATGAGATGACTCCAAAACCAACGCCAGGATTTCGTTGGTCTGAG